GTCTAGTTATCCTTAATTTAGAATTCAAGAACAAAGAAATCATAAGAGATATGCAAAGAACCTGTATTGAATTTAAATACCAACAGTCAAAACTCTATTTGTAACAAAATTAAGAAAGGTGTTTAAATTATTGTAATAGCTCTTGAAACTTTTATTTATTAATTTTTTTCTCCAAAGCGAACAACTATATTTTTTTTTAAAGCAAGTAGCTACTGTTTTTTTTTTTTTTTTTTTTTTTTTTGTTGTAGATCCCTTTAGATAGATTTTGTTACTATTCAAAAAAAAAATTTTCAACAAAAACTGTTTTTTTTTTAAGGAAATTGTGTTCTAGAAAAATTAAGAAAACTATTTTTTTCCAGAAAAACTGTTTTCCAAAAAACTCGGGCCTGTTTGGTTTGCGTTTCAAAAAATAGTTTTTGAGAAGAGTTTTAAGAAAGTGGTTTTGATATTTTTTAAGATAAAAAACTTGTTTGGACAGCCTAAATGTATATTAAATTTAATATATATATACCCATATATATATATATGTATATATACGAATTTATACATGTATATAAGTGTGTGTATATTTATATATTGTTCTCTTTATTTTCAAAATTTTCAAAGGAAACTCTGAAAATAAGCTACACTTGTTTTCTGTTTCTTTGACTCAAATCTAATTTTTTTTTCTAAAATTTAGAAAACAAAAATACTAAACAAACAGGTTTTGAGTGTTTTTGAAATTTTGAGAATAAAAAACTGTTTCTGAGATGATAACCAAACATGACCCTTTTTTTTTTTTTTCAAAAGACTGAAATAGTTTTTTTTCCTAGAAAACTATTAGTTTTCAAAAAAAAAAAAAAAACTCAGCTGCTTTAGAATGTAAAAAACAAAATTTATAAATTGTGTATATTTTTTTGCTAAATGTCAACACAAAATACTACATTTGAACGATATAGTGTCAACTTAAACAAGATATTTTAACACATAAACAGTAGATGAGATAAGAGCAATAATACGAAAAAAGATTATTAACACTTTTAATAATGGTATGTGGTCAATAATAATAAAATGCTCATGAATAGGAAGAACAATAGCTAAATTGATAAAAATATAACTTGTGGTTATAATTAAATAAATTAGAATATGAGTATATATATATATAAATAGGAAAACCAACAAGTAATTTAAATTTAGATAAAACAGAATGTATAAATATAATATATAAGATAAAAGGAAAGAGTTGACATGCGAGTTCGAGAGGCGTGTGATCACTGTTCTAAAGTAGTTGAGTCTCTCCATGTGAGGGTACTGACGGATACCAATGATTCTAAGATCCAACCCAGATGCTCGCAACAACACCTTCTCAATGGTCATGTCCACTGAAAAATTGGAATAAATCTGACTCGAATCGAATTGCCAAAAAATAAAATAATAGATGATAGTTGAAAAGGTATGCCAAGTGTAAAAAAAACTGAAATGAGCAATTGGAAGGCCTTCTGGAGTGTTGATTTCATTGCCGGTCAAAAGCTATCTCAAAGCCACTTATATAACCATTAAATTAGTAACTTATACACATACCCTTTAAAACTATTTGTAAGATGATTAATTTTTAGTCTTTAATATACACAAATAAATTAGATACACATATGCAATTGAAAATTCAAAACTCAATTAAAAAATATGTAACTGAAATTATTTTACCAAATCTTCATCTCAAATGATGTGACATAATTTTTCACCATTAAATAAGTGAATTCCATTAATATTCAGTGACGGAAATTGTGCCATGTAATATCAAGCGTTTTCCAACGAAAAAACAAAATAATGGCTCAAAAGTTGTCTTACCCATCTAGAATTTGAAAGCAGTGTTTTAAAAACCAGTTCGGCTCAACAGTTCAACTTGGTGAACCGGTCTCCTAATCGGGCCGGTTTTGTTATCAGACTGTTTATGTAAAGAACCCGCCATAAAACCGTTGAACCGGTCAAAAATTAATAAATCTATGAGAATCAGACGAATTTACAAAACTGGCTGGTTTAATTTCTTTAGTATAAATATGAGATTTTTTTATTATTTGGATATTTTGTGTCTTTTCCCTTTCCTCTTTTGTTTTGTGTTTTGCCCTAAATCGTTTCAAACCAAACGATTGACCACAAGCAGCCTCCACCCTCCACCCCAACAATTGACCACAAGTAGCAACGATCAACTCTAGCAGTGATCACCAGTGATCCAGTCTAGAGTCCACAGTCAGCAACCCTCGATTCCATCCAGCAGGCAGTCCAGTCGATTCCAATAGGTGAGTTGTCTTATTAATTGCTACTTTTTGAAGAAGATTATGGGCGGCTCATATGAGTTTGCTGTGCATGTGCCCAACGGATGGTGGTGATGGTTGACCCACCCGCGTAATGATGATAATGGGTTTTAGGAGATTGAGTCGATTTGTATTTTTCTTTTATGTTTAGCTTCATATTATCATGGATTTCCACTCTTTAAATACTGGGCGAGTTGATTTTGAGCCTATATCCATGGCAATTGGCAATGCCTTTTCAAAGTTCAAATTTGTGGTTCTAACTAAGTGGCATTTGAGTTTTCTAATGATTAATAATTGTTGGAAAGATTGTTTATGAAGGTCTGGAGTCCACTAGATTAGTGGCCTTTTTGTCTCTTTCACTGACATCTGTTAATGATATGTACATTGAATTTTCTGTTTCCTGAACAAAGCTGGTCACTAGTGTGCTTCTAGTTTCGTCATTTTATGAATTGTGATATTGAACTTGTGGTTTGTTTGAGATTCTTATTGTTCATTATATATAATTGAGTTGTAAATTAGTTAATTGATAGTAGTGGTAATATTTGTATTTTTAAGTGGAACTAGGGGATAATTTATTTTCAGTTTCGTTTATTTGAGTTTTTATGCTATGTTTATGTGCTTTGTTTTGTTTTGATGTATTTTGCTTACTACAGTTTGAGTTCAAAGTTTGAACTTTAAAGAGTGCAAATTACATGGATTATACTTAGATTGATACATTGTCAAAGAGTTGAACTTAAACTTGAAACCTTGAACTTCAATAGAAGTATTTTTCTCTACTTAACTTTACAAGTTGTACTGAAAATTGAATTCATTGAAATTGGATACATATTTGATGATTTTTATCTACTTGACTTTATGTGTTTGATGTTATTTTTATAATTATTGTGATTTTTTAGCCTACTTATTATTATTTTTTTATTTTTTATTATATTACCGATTCAACCAGTGACCCATTGACCCGGTCTATTCACCGTGTTGATGTTCGGGCCGGGTTTTAAAACTATGTCCCAAAGTGAATCGCTTTTTTTTTTTTTTTATGTCGGTTTGGTTTTTCCTCCCTCAGTGCATGGTGACGAACCACTCCGTGACTTAATATTTTGTGTTTTTTAGGTCATAACATTTTTGATATATTAAATTTATAATATGAAAAATTAAAATTTTAAGAGTACAAAATAAAAAAATTAAAATCTTTTAAGGTACACTGTATAATTCACCCTAATATTTTATTTCTTTTCTCAATTTTATCTTGGATGAAGACAGCTCGAGGACACGTGTTTGGCCATTATAAATTCTAAGTCAACTCAGAAAATATAGTGGAATTCCGATTTAGAAAAATTTCCTAAATCATCATTTTCCCATAAAATAAAAATTGCCCAAATCTTAGGTCATGGGTGACTCAAGTAAAAGAGGATGGGGTCAATTTATTTTGGGAGAATTACATCCGGAGACCCTTTGAAGTTTATCATTTTATCACTCAGATCCCTTGACATTTAAAATATTACACACAGACCCTCTAAATTTTGTACACGCATAATACTTAGACCTATGTTATAGATATATCCTTTAATAAATTACACTCAGACCCTTTAAAGTTTATAAACATATATTACTTAGAGCCATTAAGTTTAAAATATTATACTTAAATCAAAAATACTTCAATCAAATATAAAATATAAAATATTTTAAATTTTATAATTAAAATTCATGTTTTATTGTATCTTTTATTGAAATAAAATAAAAAAAAAATTATTTTTTTCTTAAAAAAATCGTAATTAGTATACAATTATATTGTTTATTGGAATTGAATTTGATCGTTTAAACGACCAAATTAAAATAACAAATTATCCCAATTAAAAGTTAAAAGATATCATGTCTATTACAATTTGACCCATTGTTTAATTTTTTAGTTTTATTGTAATAAATAGTATAATTATATACTAACTATGATTTTATTTAAAACTAGATTTTTATTTTTGATTTTATTTCAATAAATGATATAATAGAACATCAATTTTAGATGTAAAATTTATGTTCTATTATGAATGATTTAGACCCCTTATTTGATTTTTTTTTTGTTTTATTTTTATTTTTATTTCAATAAATGATACAATAAAACATAAATTTTAGTTGTAAAATTTAAATACCTACAAACTTCAAGAGGGTCTAAGTATAATTTATTAACAGATATATTTACAGCAGGGGTCTAAGTGTTACGTGCGTACAAATGGCAGAGGATTTGTGTATAATATTTCAAATATCAAAGGATCTGAGTGATTAAGTTACAAATTTCAAGGGATCTAAATATAATTCTCCCATTTATTTTTTGTTATATAGGGTAGATATCTTTCAGGATTCCATTTGGGAGGAAAACTGAAGTGTTTGACATAAAGTATATACCAAATGAAATTCTCTCAAATGAGCAACGCTATTAAGACCTAATTTAGTGACTCAATTTAGTATGACTTTAAAATTAATTGTGGACTCCATCAAACATTAGAACTTGGTGTTTATCCAATGGTACCAATGAAGCCACGTCATTAAGTCAACAAATTATGTCAGATTTTTGGTCCAAATAACATTTTCCTTGTATTTAAGTGAATCTCTTACTCAATAGTAATGAATAATTTATTAAGAAGAAAAATAATAAAAAAAAAAAAAAGCATCGGAAGAAATCTAAATCCGAAGTACAACTGAATAGAAATGGTAGAACATATATTAGATCTAATTACCCGATTATCAAAAATAGAGAATTTATGGGTACGAGAATAGAATTCTTGGGTATGTAGTTTAGCCCATAACTGAAAACAACAACAATAATAAAGAGACATCAGTAAGAGGAGCTATTACATGCACTCCTTTTAACAGTGCAATCAAGCTTTGCCACCAACCATTGGTCCTAATATGCAGCAACTACCAGATGAAGATTCGAAATAAAATCGGAAGGGTTGGGGTACATTCTTACCTCAAGGGGGGTAAAACAGGACGAGTTTCAGGATCAAAAAATCCAGCAAAGAAAGCAATCAAAACTGAGAAGATGAGGATACCAACCATGGCAGATCTCAAGACCTGGTCACAGTTATTATTCATGTGCATATCGGTTTGACTACTTGGATGGAGGGATAGCAGATCCTCACCACTACTGAAATCGGCATTTGCCTCTCCTTCATTCGTCTCCCCGTTAATACAAGGTTGTTGCATGTTGCCCATGTTAAGGTTTCCACATGTCATGCACGTGCATTCCCCTCCAAGATATGATGGGAGTGTCTGAAGGTACTCGGAAAGAACATTTTGGTACATTTCCCCTTCAACTTTCACCTTTTGCCTAGTGACAGGTTTCAGTACCTGAAGAAGAGTCTCAATAGCATTTGAATAAATGAAAAGAATAAAATAAAAATTAACTAATCAATTTGAATCAGAGTTTAGAGCTTACTTGAATAAAAGTTTGTGCCATGATACGAACAACAGGAGGAAGCCGTATAACAAAGAGAGAGCCAAGACGGTTTGGGAAGTGATCTTGCAGAAGAACAGAACACGTTCTCACCATTTGCATGGGCAATCGCAGAGGAGACAGCCGTTCACAATCAACTAAAACTGTAATTTGAGGATTTTCGCTGTCAACCAAATGCAGGATCCCGTGCTCCACCTGAGATACTGCAGTTGCAATCATCCACAGCTTAAAAAGGTTTTCATCACAACAAGTAACATAATACACATAGGCTGACATTACCACTCATTTGAGGCTATTCAGAGTATTAAATAAGACCCTCGTGGTCTAAACACATATGGTCAAAAAGACAACAGTACTGCTTGGTCCGAATTCCTCACGCAGCAAGCACATCCTATCTATAAAAATTATCTAGGATAAACATGTCAAGCACTATTTCTCCTAATTTTTTTTGACATTTTCCTGACGAGTTGACAGGAACTTTCTTAATACAAAGACTGGAACATAAAAGGAAAAGTTCCCACACCTTCCTAGTTTCTTTGACCTTGATAGAGCACAACAGAGAAACATGATTCATGTAGTGGATCTCAAGTAGTTAGGACAAAAGGTTTTGCTGAGTTGGATTGAGTTGTACAAATTTTCATTTGAAACTTTGTATTTTGTGTATTTTGCATATCCTAAAAAACTTTTGGTAGTCTTTTACTCCTCTATAACCATGTTTTCCCTTTACTCTATTTTTTTCCCTTTTTGCGAGCTTCTTTCTTCGTATGTAGGCTATCAACAGCTATGATTTAATGTGAACAATAGAATTTGTCCATGAGAATTATCAAGTTCCATGTTCATCTTTAAATAATGAAAAACCAAGTGTCGTACTTCAGAAAAGAAACAGAAGCCACATGCGTTAAACTTAATGGTTTCATGCAACAATTCTGGAGCACATCAAGCATCATTGGTCGATAACTAATATCGTTTCTGATCAGAAACACCTTCTTAGCGTATACTGGTACACTTCCAGCTGAAGAACTACCACACGCAGCAAGGGCAGCTCTACAAACTGATTTGAGTCCATACAATAGATAGTTTCTGTACTCCTTAACCTGTATGAATATCTCAGTTTCCAATAGCAAAAAAAACAAACTTACTGGTTTCACAAGTTGAAGACATCATAAGAAGTCACTAGATCATATTTGATGGAATATATGGCTATCAATCAGTGGTTGGTTTCACAAGTTAAAAGATATCATAACTCACCACTAGATCATATGAAACAGTTACCTTCGTCTGTGTCCCCAACAAAAAATGTATTTTGGCTTTCATTTTTAAGTTACTTAATGTTCATGGAATTGNCTTCACAAGTTAAAAGATATCATAACTCACCACTAGATCATATGAAACAGTTACCTTCGTCTGTGTCTCCAACAAAAAATGTATTTTGGCTTTCATTTTTAAGTTACTTAATGTTCATGGAATTGAAGTTTTCAGCAACTAATTCTGTTTCAGACCCCATATTTTCTGACATAATTTTTCCGCCGTACTAATCATACAAAAGAAACTTGATCATTGTACTCTTTTTATAAGTAGAATATTCACAAAGAATTACTGCAACTAGATATGAAATATATACATTATGAGTTAATTTATACAGCGGCCATTTGGTAGCAGAATGGCCGCCAGACACCTCAAAGGATAGAAGTTGAGAGAGTGAAACAGCAATTAAGGTTCAGAGATCCTTCTATTCTTTCCTGAGAAAACAAGGGAAAAAAGTACAGGCTTCTTTGCATATTGGAGAAAAAGCATTGCAGGCTACTTAGTTCAACTGACAGCTGGGTTTGGAACTATCAGACACAACTCACATCTTCATTAATGGAACACGGGTTTGAGGAAAGAAACTGAACGACATTGACCATATGTTAGATCACAAAACAAGGAAAAAAATCAGAGAAGTTTTAGGCTTAGCTCAACACCAGAAAATTAATGCCAGATGAGAAATCTCACGAAATTTGCTTTTATAATATGGTGTAAAATGAATTATTTTCAATTTTATGAAACATTGTGTCCAAACAATTTGTAAGAGCAGAAAAGACATACCAACAGCTTGAACAAAGCGAGGTCTTTCATTGGATGGCAAACCGATGCAAGCTAGCCCAAGGCGGACAATAAGGCAAGGTCGATGGCTCAAATCAACTCCATGCCAGAAGACCATACTGGACCACATCTTAAGTTCTTTTCTAGATAGAATTCTATAAGTCTCCCTCCAACGGATTGTTTTCTTAACAGATGACAGCATGCATGGAAAATCACCATTTGCAGCATTATAAAATCTGTGGAGTTCATCCTCATTAATTCTGCATAAACACCACTATGTCATGCACCGCTGCAACAAGAGAAGCCAAGGAATTTGAAAATAAATATGCCAGCAAGAAAACATGAGGAATCCCCAAAACATTTTTGTCCAGTAACTTCATCCATATTTTGGTGAAAGAAAAGCACTTCGGGGGAAAAATAATTGAGGTGCTCCACATGAAAATAACTTTAAAAACAATATCCAGCCAAATATTATCCATAAAATTAATCTTAACAAAAAAAAACACACTGAAGGCAAGGAAGTACCTTCAATGGAAGATAGGAATATGAAAGTTATCTGAACTACAATATTTCCTGGAAAAAAGCACCTAAGCTTCCAGTGAGCCCCAAACGTGATTTGAGCAAGTGATGTTACCAATTATATTTATTTTTTGGTCAAGCCGGCTAATTAATTTGGTAAAGCTTGGGAAGTTGACCTCAGAAACAGTCTATTCTTACCTTTTTTCAAAGTTAAGCCATAGACCCAACAAGTGTAAGAGTTACTTGTTTCTTGATTAGAAGTTCGAAAAAGTCCAGCCTTTTCACTTTCAACCAAAACGTTTTGATGTCACTATGTGACCATTTAATTAGAGTTCTTATGCAACTAAAAGGCTTGTAGTTTCTCTTACATTTCTACGTGAATCTGGATTAATCTTCCCTGAAACATTCATTTGTTTATTAATTTCTCAATGATTATTGTTATTCCCACCAAAAAAAAAAATTCAACCAAAGGCAATTCCCTTTTGAATATTTAATTAAAGTGGAATCACCTTTCTGGTAAACTAATCCCCTGTTTTCCCAGCTCTGCATGAAGCCGAAGCAACCAATTCGGAGATGATAGGTTTTGTTGGGCTTCATCACAAGTCCTGCAAAGAAAAGAAGGCAATAGATATAACCAAATTGGGGGAAAAAAAAATCTTGACAGAAGACGCTAAACTCTGCAGAGGGAATGGAAAGAACTCCAACTTTATACAATCATTCCAAATACAATTCACTATCAGAAGTAAGAAAATATGCCTCAAAAACAAAGCAATAAAGAACTCATCAACTACATGACATGATGAACAAACATCTGACAAAATTCAAATTTAGTTATTTGCCCATCCAACTACATTAATGATTCCATCCTTTCTTCAAGCAAGAAAAAAAATCAATGTTTGGGGGTTATTTATGTGTGGGGGGGGGGGGGGGGGGGAGTAAGCTCTTGATAAAAAAATCCACAAAGATAAACATTTATTGACACAGGAAGTGCCCTTTCTGGTGGATCAAAGTGAAGCAAACGGCAAATCCTTTGGTCTCCCTCACCCCCACTATCCCCTCTTTTTGCCTTGCTGGGGATTAAAGCGAAATTCTTAAAACAAAGAAATGGATCTGAACTTACATAACAATGAGCACCTAGGCTTCAGCAACCTCAATTAATGCCTTTTCTTTGGTCTACAAAAATTTCATGCTGTAGGCCAAGGGTTATTAGCATTATTATTCCTTTTTTATAACTACTTAGGTGGGAAAATAATGGTTGTGTTTTTCCATGTTGCCTAGCAGGCAGATGTTTATATGTGCAAGTCTCTATGTGGAAAATTATCCACCACCAATTGTTTTTTGACTTGTAAGATGTGCAATAACATTATGGAGATCCCTTCTATGTACCTTGTATCCAGAGTAGATTGTACAGATGGAAACTCAGCATGCGATTCTGGAACTGCAGGAGAATCATTAAGGCCAATAGAATCTTCGGTACCATCTGAGGTAACATTACAGCTCCCTGATTGATCAGAGAAAGCAGTCGTGATAGAGAGAACTAATAATGGCCTTGATAATACCTATAACAAAAACATGCTGTAACCATCATAAGTCCTGCAGGATTATACATACAAAGGTCAAGGAAAGTGGGTTTAAAGGTACTTCCATTTAGCAAGCAGCAAAAAGATAGAATAATTACTCGAGATGGGAGTACAAACTTGATCATAGCAAACACATCTCGAGGCCATGCAACTAAGAACATAAAATTTTGGATGATTAAAAACATACCAAGATGATACACAATCACTACATTAACAGCAACCAAATAGAAATAGTATGTGCTTGTAGTAATTCTCACTCCGACGAGACAACTGCAATCAAATTCATCAAAAACCTGATTCATTAGTCTCTATGTCCCATTGTCCCTATGATAAAAATATGAAGATAACTATTTCTTGACTTATATAATTAATACCCATTCACAAGCCAAGTATTGAATGCACTTTGGTGTACTGGGTGTTTCAATAAGCCAAGTCTTGAATGCATTGTGGTGTACTGGGTATTTCTACTGAAGTTCAAATCTCATTCTCAAAGCACAACTAAGTTACAACGGATCAATTCAGTAAATAAACTAATTTGACTTAATTTGAATATAGTTTAGTTTTGGTTATATTTATTCCTAGTATTCCAGGAAAAACGATGATATCAATTGGATATTTTCTTAAAAGAAATGCCAATTTGCTAAAGATGGAGCTATAATTTCAATTGACAAAGGCATGACAACATTCAAGCAGGCTTTAGTGTAAAGAATCAACAAAAAAGTTGAAGAATGTAACTAACATACATGTGAGCACATGAATGAGTACAGAAAAAGAAAGTGATAACAAAGATTCAAGAGAGGCTGTGGGATCTCCACAGCATGTAAGTTTCCTCAAAGCCCTTTCAAACCTAGACTGTTAACCTTTAAACAGAAAATAGCCTTAAAAAAGCAGTGGAATTCACAAATTAAAGTTAAAACATAACTTTGCATCAAAATTAATAGGTGAAGAAAAAAGAAAGAAACAATTCCCCATGAATCAAATCACACTTCTAACACCCCATGTATAAGCAAGTGATCAACAGCATAACTCAAATTGAATCGTAAGCCTCTTTGATTGAGAGAACGAACCTTCATGCCCTTGACCAAAACCTTCAAAGGTTTCCATCTTTGAATCCACTTTAATGGTGAATAGCAGAGAACTTGCAAAACTTGCAGACCAGACCATAAAAATGGACACCTGGCTCTTGAGAACCTGCGAACCATCTCTAGTGCAGCAATTTTTAGTAAAAACAATGCTACTTGAGCAGCAGTCCCTCTTCCAAATCTACCATGCTTTATTGAAGCTATTTGCTTTGAAGTNTGTGGGATCTCCACAGCATGTAAGTTTCCTCAAAGCCCTTTCAAACCTAGACTGTTAACCTTTAAACAGAAAATAGCCTTAAAAAAGCAGTGGAATTCACAAATTAAAGTTAAAACATAACTTTGCATCAAAATTAAGAGGTGAAGAAAAAAGAAAGAAACAATTCCCCATGAATCAAATCACACTTCTAACACCCCATGTATAAGTAAGTGATCAACAGCATAACTCAAATTGAATCGTAAGCCTCTTTGATTGAGAGAACGAACCTTCATGCCCTTGACCAAAACCTTCAAAGGTTTCCATCTTTGAATCCACTTGAATGGTGAATAGCAGAGAACTTGCAAAACTTGCAGACCAGACCATAAAAATGGACACCTGGCTCTTGAGAACCTGCGAACCATCTCTAGTGCAGCAATTTTTAGTAAAAACAATGCTACTTGAGCAGCAGTCCCTCTTCCAAATCTACCATGCTTTATTGAAGCTATTTGCTTTGAAGTTATTGGTGAAAAGGACTTTGCGGCTGAAGCAATCAAACGTTTCCTACTACTAGTCGATTCATAGTTTCTTATCAAGCCAGGAGTTTGAAATGAGTCTCCCATTTATTAGAAGAATCTACGAATGCTAAGCTGAATCGACAGAGAAACTCGAAGATGATTCCAGCGAAATAATTTCTTCAGCCGGCGGGAACAATTGGATCTCTGCACAGCACACGATTAATTATCATTCGGTGCATAGAAATAAAACCACAAACGCCCGATTTAGGTTTTTAATTTCTTCGGATCTACCATAACAGAAGATGAATCGCGAACATGATAATGTAGAAGATTAAAAGATTTCAATGCAAATCATATAGACAAATCATTTCTCACCTGAAATCAATGGAATCATCAGCATAAAAAAATTCTTAATAATCAGAAGAACTTGATTCGATTCGATTCGTCGATCCTGCTTTCAATAGAAGGCAATCGAAGCTTTTTTGGCTTGGACTTTTGGGAAGAAATGCTCGCGATCATTTGATTCTCCGTCAAGTTTGGTGGCGTTCCTCCACTAAAGGAAGAGAGAGAGAGAGAATGAGCGAGTGCATATGGCGGGGTCGACCACGTGACTTTGACNTTTTGAAGTTATTGGTGAAAAGGACTTTGCGGCTGAAGCAATCAAACGTTTCCTACTACTAGTCGATTCATAGTTTNCTTTGAAGTAATTGGTGACAAGGACTTTGCGGCTGAAGCAATCAAACGTTTCCTACTACTAGTCGATTCATAGTTTCTTATCAAGCCAGGAGTTTGAAATGAGTCTCCCATTTATTAGAAGAATCTACGAATGCTAAGCTGAATCGACAGAGAAACTCGAAGATGATTCCAGCGAAATAATTTCTTCAGCCGGCGGGAACAATTGGATCTCTGCACAGCACACGATTAATTATCATTCGGTGCATAGAAATAAAACCACAAACGCCCGATTTAGGTTTTTAATTTCTTCGGATCTACCATAACAGAAGATGAATCGCGAACATGATAATGTAGAAGATTAAAAGATTTCAATGCAAATCATATAGACAAATCATTTCTCACCTGAAATCAATGGAATCATCAGCATAAAAAAATTCTTAATAATCAGAAGAACTTGATTCGATTCGATTCGTCGATCCTGCTTTCAATAGAAGGCAATCGAAGCTTTTTTGGCTTGGACTTTTGGGAAGAAATGCTCGCGATCATTTGATTCTCCGTCAAGTTTGGTGGCGTTCCTCCACTAAAGGAGAAGAGAGAGAGAGAGAGAGAGAGAGAGAGAGAGAATGAGCGAGTGCATATGGCGGGGTCGACCACGTGACTTTGACCTAATTCGACTGTTTATAAATCAAATCAAAGCAATTACTGTTCTGCTGCACCAGAAATTCACTTTCAGAAATTAAGTAGAAAATTGAACAAGAACGCGAATACAAAAGATTGGGATTGAAGAATCAAGAACAGTTTTATACAATGAAATCCCCAGAAAGAAAGAGAACATGAAAGATTAATGTGCACAACCTCATATGATATAACTCCAAAAACAATTTGTGCTATCCTACACACACTACCAATTACATTCTTTATAGACATCACTGTAACTTCACTAGATCTCACAGAGCATGTTGATCTTCAATCTCCATCGTCGATTCTTCAATTCTCGGCGGTGGGGCCACAATTTCACTAACCCCTTCCCCAGCGTCCGATTCAGTCCTTTCGGTCTGGCCAAAACCGTTGTCAGACGATGGATGGTGGAGATGAGGGAACGGAGACGATAGTCCATGAACCACAATCCGGTTGTTATACAACAAATCAAGACTCTGGATCTTGACGTAGTTGATCCTCATGGGAGCCAATGGATCTCCACTGCCACCGGTGGTAACCAGCAAGTTCTCGCCACTTTCCACAGTCGGCAAAATCGTCTCCGTCGGCAAACTCACCAAATCAGCGGCCCTCAACAACCTGTTCGGTACAATGTGGAACCGGAAATTCGGTAAGTACGAGTGTCCTCCGGCGAACATCGCCGTGTCGTCGAGAGCGAAAACAGTCATGGACCGAAGTTTCACCAGTTCTTGATACTTGGCTCTCAGAGCAAGAGAGACGACGCTATACCCACTGATGCGCAGTCTCAACATGGCATCTTTTAGCATGGAGCGCATGATGGAGAAGTCTGGAGTGGCGGATTGTTGAGGGAATGAGAGAGACGTCATTCGTTCGACATTGCAAGAAAGTGGAGAGAGGTGAGAGACAAAGCCTTCGATGCCGTGGATGATAATGTGGCCATTGTTGAAGAGGTCTGGGTGAAAGATTTCAGCCCCGTTGATGAAGGCTTTCTTGATGGCGTATGATGTGGTGGAGGTGGAGGTGACTGTGAGGCAGCGATTGGGGGCTAGGGTTTCGATTTTCGTGCCGAAAGCTAAGGAGAGTAGGGCATGGAGTGGGTAGAGTCCGGGGACAGAGTGTTCTTGGAGGAGGACAGGCAGCGAGCAAGAACGGCAGGTGAAGAGGGCCGTGTCAGTGGGGGCGAAGATGGTGGTGGGAGTGGCGGTGGTGATGAGAGAGAGGTTAGTAGCGGTGGACAGTTCTTGGAACCCAAGAGAAGAGAAGACAGCGGGAAGGAAAGAAGGTGGGTAAAAGAGGTCTTGAGATGGGGTTGGAGCGGTGGTTGTCGTGGCAGTCGTGGTGATGGTGGTGGAGATGAAGATGAAGGTGAAAACGGTGAGGAGTTGCAGAGAGGTAGCCATGGATTTTTAGTGTCGTTGCTGTAGAGAGAGAATGGTTTCAGAGATTGAGAGAGAAAAGACAGGTTGTAGACTGAGGAAGATGATGGGAATTGAAGACTCCAGTGTGCGTTTATATAACTGAACGGAACGGCCCGAGTTCGTTAGTTCGTTAGGGTGTCTGTTATTCTGTTAGCGACTCTTATTGTCATTGACAAAAAATTCCTGATACTGTATGATATTGGAGAAATAGAGGTTTAGTTGTGGTCGAAGACGCTCTTAACCCAGCAAAAAAATACATTAAATCATTTCACATATTCATCAATAATTAAACTTTTTTTTTCCACTCAGCACCAAAAAAAAAAAAAAACTGTTATTGCACATGTATTATGGTAAAATACTACAAATATACTACTACTAAAGGCTACTAAATCAAAAAACAATCTTTTTCTGTCAATACCCTCTAACATTTGTATAATGCCAGATTCATCCGGTCTTTTTGATGATCCAGCTTCCAGTGACATTTTGTCCAACGAAGAAAACCATCCGGCCACATGGGTATTCATTAGGATTAATTACAAATTACCACCCTCAACTATGGGTACTGCTACAATTAATTACCGTAGGTTTGAATTTCAATAAATTATTCCCTTAAAGTTTTCACCTGAAAAAATTTGATTACTTTTGGCGGTTGAAAATTGACGAAATATGTTAATTGAAAAATATTGAAAATTAATGGAAGAATGTTGTTGAAATTCAAACCTATAGAGAGTTAATTATAATAATATCCAAAGTTCAAGGGTATAATTTATAATTTACCCTATTACTATCTTCTCCAAATAAATTGCCCCTGCCCTCTCCAAATTCCACTACTCTCTCTTCTTTTACTCTCCCGAAACCCCCCCACCAGCCTCCAAATAAATGCCCATAACCCACCCAAATTAACCTCTTTATCTCTCTTCTTTCCTCCACCAGAAACCATTGGCGTTCTCCCCCTCTCTCTTTCTATGCCGCTCAAAAACATGTGTTACTCTACGCATTCAAATTACTCTTTACGAAATCTCAACGTCTCGTGCCATTGCTCTTTCCGCCTGTACGCATTCTGGGACCAAGTGCATGAAGTTGGAATGCCTATATGACATTTCAATTCACGCAATTTCAATACTCCAAACTGCCATTTGAATTACTCTACGTAATTTCCCTTTCTACATTGTAGCTCAACACTCTGTCCGTCTAGCGATCTCGGAATCGGCCGCTTATTTCTTGGTATATTGTTCTTCCACTGATATCTCCGTTAAGATTTTCTCTAGTCTAAATACATCTCTATTTTTATTTTAACATCATAACAAATTCCCTCTCTATATCTGTATTGTTTATATTATTTGTTTATGCCTTTTCACTTATTCAGCATATTGTCAACTCTATAAAACAATTAACTACTCTTAACAATTTTTTTACGTTTTTTCTGAGCTGTTTGCACGTAGTAGTTTATTGTTCAGTATTGTTTTACCTGTACGATAAGTGGAAATTTACACTTTTGTTGTTGATTGATGTACCTTTTCAATTCGTGTCTAGATCTTTTTTGAATTATTTCTTGAATTATAAATAGTTTTAATTATAAACATTTTTCCTTTTTGTGTATAGTTTTTATTCGTTTTTTGTATTGAAGTGGTTAAATGTCATACCATTATAGCAAGAAGCATGCACACAAACTGTCTGACAATTTGGTTTTTATTCTTGTAAAATCTGGTTTGTTCTAATCAGACTTCCATTTTGGTTGTGATTAGAATGTTTGATTTGTAATATTGAAAATTTGCTTTTTCTATGATGTTTATGAGTCTCCTTTTATGGTTCTGATTGGGGGCATTGTTTTTTGGATATAGGCTAAACTTTGCTTATTTCTTATTGGCTCTTAAATACGGTGTATGCCAGTAATTTTATCCATTATAATTTTGTTTACCGTCAACATGCCATCGATTTTAACTTGGAGGAATGGAAGTGATTGTAAAGCTTAGGAAATGGAAAATGATTAATTTGTGATGCTTACAAGCACTTCAAACTGCTATAAGCTTCCCCTACGCGTGGACCTAAAGCAAAGAACACAAACAAGCCACACATTGAGAACTAGAGTTCATTTACCCAATGCTAAGGCCTAGCCTTTCAAGCACACAATAAACATTTATATATGGGTCACAAGCATGGAAATCCTGTTTATGGTGTGAATGTTTTGGCAGTGAATATGATAATTGGGTTTGTGTGGCTACTAAATGAGTTGAATAGGAGGATGATTTTGCATTATATGCCAAAAACTTTACCAAAACAAGTAAAATCACAAGTATATTAAAATTAAAATTACATATTATGCATTCAGTGAATTTTGATAATGAATTTCTCCATGGGATCCTTGAAGTGCCTAGGTGAACAGTAGAACTGTGGACGGCTATTGTACTTTATAATTGCAGTGTTCTTAGAATACAAATAGAGATTGAACAAATCCAAAATCTATCTATATCTATATTTATACTACTAATAAAAATATCTTAATTTGAATTTTTTTTGATTCACTACCTTATAAAAAATTACAAAGGTCACTCTATCCTTACATAATTAAATATTTAAGTTACCATCATATGCTTATGTATTTAAATCTTTAAATTACCTCTAACATCAATTTTAATTATCTATTCCTTATGTATGAATATCAATTTTTGTAAAATTTTTTGATTGACTATATTATCCTTAAAATATGTGTAATACTCTGACCCAATTCCATAATATCCAGAGTGCTAATAACTTCCATAAGAAGTGCACAATACAATATTCAAACAATGATGTAAGCTTTGATATCAATTATAAACATTTCGATCTAATTCCATATACATAATGAGTGTTTGTTATTGAACTCAACGGATAAACATATTATGCACAACTATGGTACAATTCTGTCATAGACTCATTATATTCCACATACGTATGTGAAGCTTATTACAATTTACATGCTTCAACAAATCAGTTCAACACATAGAATGAAAACACATGCAAATTGGTAGTTAAAATATTCACGAACTTTCTCGTCACTTGCTAATTTGAAAAAGGGGAAAAGTGTAGGGAGAATGTCAACCAATTTATTAGAGTAGCTTAATTCCAAAGCATGAAAGTTTGAAAATAACATAATTTGACAATCTCAAAGTAGTTCATTTCATACATAAGTAATAGAACAAAAAACTTTGAGTAAAAACAATAATACGATCATAGCATCAATACAAAGCTGCATCAGTGGACGATCATCTTAATAGACCACTTAGGGTCAATACAAACATACTAATTAACCATCAAAAGTGCTATTTTATTATATTTAATGATTGATTAATTGTATATTATTTGTGATTAAATGGATTAAATTCCTTAATTTTATAGTTTGATACTTTTTTCTAGTTGTTTTGTTTATTTTACAAGTAAATTGGTTGATTTAAAGTAATAATACATAAGACAAGTGAAGTAATCACTAGAGGAAGAATCATAATTGATAAGGATTGAAGATTCAAGATTCAAGATTGAGATAAGAAGATTTGAAGATAAATCTGCAATTTAATCCTTATAAGAGTCCAAGTTTAAAGAAAACTTTTTTAAAGTTGAATTGAGAAAGTATTCTACAAGATAAGGATTTGACACGTCTTCAATATTTTGATTATAAATTTTAAATCCGACATCGGGTTGACATGATTTTTGTGGAGTTAAAAAGAAGATTTCACGGGCTATAAAAATGTATTTCACGAAAATTTTGTGATTCGACCTCTAAATATACAACATTTAAGTTCGAAGTCTAAATATATTTTGTACCCTCAGCTCCCAAAATTTTATATACGGGATTTAACCTTAAAATACTTATTTTTGGAAAAGAATTCTTGTCAAGCCAACCTTATATCTTCTATCTATACAAAGGATTTATTTTACTATAAATAAAGACTCTCATCTATTGAGAGAGGAGATTTTGGATAATTATTATTTTCTTCCCATTATTTCTTTTTCTAGTTTTGTTTTAAGTTTTATGGCTTGCTAAAAGCCCAGCNGACGGATAAACATATTATGCACAACTATGGTACAATTCTGTCATAGACTTATTATATTCCACATACGAATGTGAAGCTTATTACAATTTACATGCTTCAACAAATCAGTTCAACACATAGAATGANTGTACTTATTATTGATTAAATATTCTTTTTAATATATGATTTATTCTTTTAATTTAATTTTTCTCGTTTAGTAAAGTTTTTGCTCTGTATAATTTTTTGATTTGTTGTGCCATATACATCGAATACTTGAGATTCCCTACATGTCAAATAATTGGTTATTTTATACTTAAATTAATTAATCAGAATTTCTCATAAGATAGTTGATTTATTATTTGCAAGAAAATAAGGTTTACTTGTTATAAAGTTTGATTTATCGTAGACTTTGGGTACTGTAAATGCTTGTGATCTACAAGCAAATTTTTATATTTGTTTAAATAATTCATTTATTACAACTTTTGATATTTTCATATTATCACTATTAAATATTCCGATTGGGGTCACTCCTTAACTGATTCTCAATTGAGTTCGAAAACTGAATCATTAATAATTTCTGTGTGTATTTGAAAAGGTATCCCTGATGCTTTAGTATTTCAATTACTGTTTTAACCAAACCATCTTTGTTCTGTGGAATAAATTTCTACTCAAACAAATTTCAACAAATTTCTTTTTATTTGTTTTGTGTCTTTTATTTTTTCAATTCACTATGGTTTGGCCTTGGACTTCCGAGTATTATATTACTTCGCACAACTTGCACATGAGTGATCAATTCTAAAGTTGTATCACATACAATCTAATTTTTTGGGGGATTTTCACTCCGAGAAAGATACACTCCCTAGTAATAATTCGATATCCAAGTCTAAAGACCAATAGGGCTATCTTGACATTTATGAATTCAATGAGAAACCATCTACGACCTCAACTTGGAGCATAAAGCCATATCTACTTGAC